TTTTGTTCTTTAGATTTCACATATAAGTGAGATCATATGGTATTTGCCTCTCACTTTTAATAAACAATCAGATAATGAATGAAGAAAAAATTCCATTCACAGCAGCATTTAAAAAATTCATAAGAATAAATTTAATAAAAGAAGTGCAAAACTTATAATCTGAAAAATTCAACACATTTTCAAAAGAAATTAAAGGTCTAAAATGTAAAAACTTCCCATGTTCATGAATCAAAAGACTTAGCATTGTTAAAATGGCAATAATCCCCAAACTGATCTACAGAATCAATGCAATCCCTATCAGTATCCCAACTGGCTTCTTGTAGAAAGGGAATGGGTGATTCTATAATTCATATGGAACTGTAAGAGACCCAAAATAACCAAAACAATCCTGAAGAAGAGTAAACTAGGGGACTTCACACTTCCAGATTTTAGAACTTAAGATAATCAAGTAGTAACAATAATCAAGACAATGTCTTACTGGCAAAAGGATAGACATATGGATAAATGTAATAGAATTGAGTGTCCAGAAATAAGCCAATACATTTATGGCCAACTGATATGTGATAAGGGTGCCAAGACCATTCAGTGATGAAAATTATAGTATTCTCAAAAAATAGTACTGGCATAACTGGATAACCACGTACATGAAAATGAAATTGGACACTTACCTCACACCATATGTAAAAGTTAACTGAAAATGGATTAAAAACACAAAGGTAAAACATTTTTTTAAAACCTTAGAAGAAAAGATAGGGATAAATCTTCTTGACCTAGGATTTTTGACAATGGATACTAAGATATGACACAAAAGCCCAAGGAACAAGTAAATAAATTGGACTGCATCAAAGTTATAAACGTTTATGCTTCAGAAGAATCCACCAATAAAATGAAAAGATAACTAATCCATGGAATGGGAGAAAATATTAGAAAATCATGTATCTGACAAGGAACTTTTATTTAAAACATATAAAGAACTCTTACTACTCAACAATAAAAAAACAACCCAATTTAAAAATGGACAATGTATCTGAATAGACAATTCTCAAAAGAAGATATACAAAGGGCCAAAATCACATGAAAAGATGCTTGGCAGGGGCCGGCCGAGTGGCTCAGCTGGTTAAGAGCTCGCTTGGGAGCACCAGCTCTGAGCAGCAGGGCTGTGGTTCGGATCCCACATTGAGGGCCAGTGACGCTCGCCCTCTACAGCTAAGATGATGAACAACAGCTCGACCTGGAGCTGGGCTGCTGTGAGTCGCCAGTGACGGCGTAGGCTGCAGCCCCTGTGGCATTGGGTTGCTATAAGCTACCATGAGTAGCCAGCAGCCAGTGTGAGCTGCAGGGAGCCACTGTGAGCGGCCGACCGATGACCGGCGACCGATTGCCTCACCTGGGAAGAGCGCAATGATGATACCAACATGGGCCCGTGAAGCAACGTCCTCCACAACTAGACTGAAGAACAAAAACAGCAATTTGTCTACCTGTCTGTTCCCCTTCCTGATTCCTCAACGCTGTTCCCCTCCCCGCAATTCCCCAATAAAATCTTTAAAAAAAAAGATGCTTGGCATCATTAATCATTAAAGAAATGCAACTCAAAACCACAATGAGATACCACTTTACGCCCACAAAAATTGACTAAAATAAAAAAAAATCAGATAATAAACAAGCAGAAGTGAAAGAATGAGAACCCATATACAGTCATGGTGAGAAAGTTAAATGGTGCAGCCATTTTGTAAGACAGTATGGCATTTACTCGTGTGATTAAACCTAGAATTACCACATAACTCTGCAATTCCTTCCACTCATATTTTTATACCCAAGAGAAATAAAAACATGTGTTCTCACAGACACTTTTACATGAATATTTATAGCAGCATTATTTTTAACAACCAGTAGGTGGTAACAACCCATGTCCGTCAGCAGATGAATGGATAAGCAAAATTTGTTTTATCCATACAATTAAATATTATTTAACCATAAAAAGAATTAAGTATTTATACATGCTACAGCATGGATGAATCTTGAAAACATTACACTAAATGAAAGAAGCCAGTCATAAATGACCACATACTATATGATTTCATTCATATGAAAATCCAGAATAGGAAAATCTATAGAGATTAGATTAGTGATTGCTTAGGGTTTGGGATAGGGATGTGGCGATAAGTGTGTGAAAGTGAAAGGTTTCAGGGTATTATTTTTTATTTTTAGTTGTGGTCAAATGCACATAACATAAAATTTACCACCTTAACCATTTTTTTTTATTTTAAACAGAATACCTCCTTATTCTGTCATACCAAGCCATGTGCACTGGAAATTTTATTTGTTTGTTTATGGTAAAAACATATAAAATCTATCATCTCAGCCATTTTTAGGTACATAGTACAGTACTGTTACCTGTATACATATTGTTGTGCAGTAGCTCTCTGGAAGTTTTTTATCTTGCAAAACTGAAACTCTATATCCATTGAACAATAATTCCTCCTTTCCCCCATACCCCAGTCCCTGGCAACCACCATTCTACTTTCTGATTCTAAGAATTTGTTTCTTTTAGATACCTTATGGAAGTGAAATCATGCAGTATTTTTTAAGGTGACTGGCTTATTTCCCTTAGCCTACTGTCCTCAGGTTCATCCATGTTGAGCACATGTCAGAATTTCCTTCCTTTTTTAAGGCTGACTATTCCATTGTATGTATATGCCCCAATTTTTTAATTCATCCATCCATGGATGGACACTTGGATTGCTTCCACCTCTTGGCTACTGTGAGTATGCTATAATGAACATGAGTGTACAAATATGACATTGAGACCCTAATTTCAATTCTTTTGGATTTATACCCAGAAATGGATTTGATGGATCATGTAAGTAATTCGTGTTTATTTGTTTGTCTATTTGTTTGTTTGTTTGTTTGTTTGAGGAGGCTCCATACTGTTTCCCACGGTGGCTACACCATTTTACACTCCAAACAACAGTGCACAAGGGTTCCAATTTCTCCATATCCTTGCCAATATTTATTTTATTTTTTTTTATAGTAGTCATCCTAGTGAGTGTGAGGTGCTATCTCATTGTGGTTTTAATTTGCATTTCTCAATTATTAGTGATGCTGAGCATCTTTTCATGTGCTTACTGACCATTTGAGTATCTTTTATGGAAAATGTCTATTCACATCTTTTGTCCATTTTTTAATTGTGTCATTTTTTTCTGAAGTTTTACTAATTATTTGCATATTCTGGCTAGTAAACCCTTTTCAGATATATGTTTTGCAAATATTTTCTCTGATTCCATAGGTTGCCTTTTCACTTTACTGATTCTATTCTTTGATGCACAAATGTTTTTAACTTTGATGTAGTTTATCTATTTTTTACTTTTGTTATCTATTCTTTTGGTGTCATATCCAAGAAATCATGACCAAAACCAATGTCATGAAGCTTTCCCCCTATGTTTTCTTCTAAGAATTTTATAGTGTTAGCTTTTACATTTAGGTCTATTTCGAGTTAATTTTTGTATATATCATAAGGTAAGGGTACAATTTCATTCTTTTGTATGTGGATATCCAGTTTTCCCAATACCATGTAATGAAGACACTGTCTTTTGCCCATTAAGTGGTCTGAGCACCCTTGTAGAAAATAATTTGACCATATATGTGAAGGTTTATTTATGGGTTCTCTGTTGTATTCTATTGGTCAGTATGTCTCTCTTTATGTCAGTACAACATTGTTTTCATTGCTATAAGTTTGTAATAAGATTTGAAATCTGTAAGTGTGAGACCTCTGGCTTTGTTCTTTGTCAAGATTATTTTGGCTATTCTCATTACCTTGAAATTCCATATGAATTTTTTTTTAGAGATGCAAAATCAATCATTTTTATTTCATTAAAATAGTATCAATATTAGTTTCTAATGAGGCCTAAAATCCTGTTTAATATGAAAAATAAAGCTATGTTATATATAATTTTTTTTTAATTTTTTTTTATTTTTATATATTTTTTTAATTTTTATTGTTAGTTTCAGGTGTACAGAACAATGCAATAGTTATCCTTTTCACCCTCACAGAGTAACAACGCCCCTCCCCCCATGTATTGCCCTCCCACCCCCGATATCATGCTTATCTATTACAATTCCATTGATTCCATTCCCCCTCTCTATGAAATTCCATATGAATTTTAAGGTGAATTCTTCAATTTCTGCAAAAACTACCACTGGGATTTTAATAGAGATTGAATTAAATCTGTAGATCACTTCAGGGAGTATTGCCATCTTAACAATATCAAGTCTTCCAATCCATGAACACATGGGGTTTCCTTTTGCGGTGATGAAGTGTTCTAAAATTGACTGGTGATGGTCACACATATCTGTAAATATACCAAATACCATTCAATTGAATACTTTACTTGTAAATGGGTGAATTGTATGGTATGTTAATTATATCTCAATAAAGCTTTTTGTGAAAAAAATGAATATACAGTGTCCATACCAACATCTACATCTATTGATTTGTGTATGTCAAGACATGGTAACAGTTTGGTGTGCTATAAATCTCAGAATATTCCATATGCTACTTAACTTTCATAATAAATATGGTTTTATTATTATAGATTATATCATCTTATCCTCACAAAAATCATGTTTTGTAATGTAGGGCAATTATCATTATTTCCAACTTACATCAGGAAACTAAAGTGCAATAAGTTTGTGGGAATTTTTTAATAACATCCTTTGGCTGAGATTTATTAGAGCTAAGACTTGAACATAAGTCTCTGACTACAGTGTCTATGCTCTTTTCACTATGCCACACCACTTGTAACAACTCATTAATTTTATAAACTCTTTGAGACCAGGGACTATTTACACATCATTGTATCACAAATAATACCTGGCCTATAGCAAGTACTTCATAAATATTTACTGGAATTTTAAACTGATCTGTAATTTACAAAGCACATTACATTTATTGTCTTATTTAATCTTTACCTTGACCAGAAAGTATTATCTCTACTTTACAGATATTAAAATTGAAGCTCAGAATGATGTCACCAAGGTGGTGACATAGTTCATCCCTGACTTCATTTCCCCACACAAGAAGAGCAACTAGCATCTATTCAAGAACAAGACCCCCCTGAGAGAATCCTAGAACATGGGGATGGGGCTGAAGCACCCACCTGCACCTCAGAGACCAAGACAGACTGCATTAGAAGGGTAAGAGGAGCAGCTACATGTTGATCGCATTGCTCTTACCCAGGGACAGTGCATCACCACACAAAGAGGTCTCTGAGTTCTGAGCCTCTGGTTCCTCCAATGGGAAAAGAGAACACAGGGGGCCAACAAGTGTCACCCAGCATTGTGGGTCACTTTGTGGGAACCCCTACTCTGATCTTGCACCACGAGGACTGCAGGGGAATCTGTAGGGCCCGGCTACTGGGAATATGACTGTTACAGAGAAGAGGGTAGGGGCTTACAAAAACCAGCATATGGATCTTGGTAGACCAAGTTCATAGTAAATCCCACCAGCAGCTTTGCTTGTCTACAGAATAAAGACAAGGGTACACTCTGACTAGAAAACTTGGCAGGGTGCAGATCTGCCTGATTCAGGTCCTCAAATGAGTATTGTCGACCCTAGAGCCTGGATTGACCAGGCCCAGGCAAGATACTGAGTGATAACACTACCCATTGTGGAGAGTGCATTTCAGGCTCATTTGACCAAAAGGTTGGTGACAACTCCTAGAAGTTTTTTGGCCCATTGGCACTTAAGCTAAGAAGTGTGTGGCCAGAACTGATTACCCCAGAGCAAAGTCAGTACTAGGCATGGAGGCTTCCCTGCTATGCGCAATGCAGGGATTAATTCATAACCAAGTCTGAGGGTAGCTCCCAGCCCCTCCCAAGTAGAAAGCATGTTTGGGAACTTGAAAGTAGCCTGGAGCATCCTCTCCCACCCCTTCCGGGCAAGGGGGCTGAGACATAGCCCTGCCTGCTGTGGAGACACTCTTCTAGCTCCATCTGACAAAAAGAGCTGGAGACAACTCCAGGAAGCTGTGCTGCCCCGTGGCCCTTGAGCCAAAGGAAGGGCAGACAGAGCCAACAGTTTATTAAACAAAGCCAATGGCCCTGTTTAGCCAGGGTCCAGGCAACTTGGGGTGCAGTTTGGCTTGAGTTAAGACAACAAACAAAACACTTTACCAGTTTTAGAGCTGCTTCTCCTGCTGTGTCCAGGCAGGAAATCTGATTAATATCCCTGCTCATTTCTGAATACAGTCTTCCACCTGTCCAAAAAGCAAGCCTAATTAGAGCACATGGGAAGCTGTGTAGCCCATTCAACAGTTCTATGAACAGTGGCACTTGAACAGAGAGCACAGCTAATGGTTTCTGCCATCTGAAGAGCAAAATCAATGGCCTCATCTGACCAGGGAATTCAGTGCACAATCAGGCCTGATTCAGGCCCCTAAACAAGCTATAACAGTCTTTGGGCCCTGGCCTGCTGCCCTGCCAGGGCAGGGAAATTAATTAATAGCCTCATCTGTTACTGAATATAGTGCCCAGTCCCAACCATCTAGTTAGCCTGACCAGAGAATTCAAACAACCTTGGAACCCATCCTATAGCCTCATTTGGTGAGGGAAGCAAACCAGCAGTCCTACCCAACTGGTCTTAGCCAGGGGCACACACCCCCTCATCCTTGACTTCAGAGCTCGATAAGTTGCCTCACTCAAATACAGGCCATAACAGCAGGCTCTATCTACCCAAAGATTACCAGCAGACACATCCAGAAACCCAAACTGAACTGACTGGTGCAGACCTGTGTCTGCCAAAGAAAACATGTTAAGTCTGGAAAAAGAGTCCTATTACTCAAATGTGCAGATAGCTACCTAAGGAATTAAGGATTAAAAAATCAGGTAAATATGACACCATTGAAGGAAATTAAGTAAAGCTCCAATAACTGACCCTAAAGAATGGAGATTTATGAACTGTCTCACAAAGAATTCAGAATAATCCTCTTAAGGAAGTTTAGTGAATGACAAGAAAACATATACAGACAATTAAGCAAAATTAGGAAAACAATAAATGAACAAAGTGAGAAGTTTGATGACAAAATAGCAACCATCAAAAAACAAATCCAAAGGTTGAAAAATACAATAACTGAACTGAAGAATTCAACAGGGAGTTTCAAAACTAAACACAACCATGAGGAAAAACTAATCAGCACCCTGGAACACAGGAACTTACCCAAAGGAGCAACAAGAAAAAAGAATGAAAAAGAGTGAAGAAAACCTATGGGAATTATGGGATGCAATACAAAGAATAATATTTGCCTTGTGGGGATTCCAGAAGGAGAAGAGGAAGAGGAAAGGACAGAAAGCATATTTAAAGCAATAATGGCTGAAAACTGCCCAAATGTAGGGAAAAAATTGAACATTTAGATTCATGAGGTCCAGACAATCCCAAATTGGCTGAATCCAGATAGGGCTACACCAAGACACATTATAACTCAATTTTCAAAAGTCAAAGAGGTCAGAAGTTGACATCCTTCATGGCGCATGAAGCCTCACTGGCACCTTGTTGGAGATCCAAATGCAGGAAGGCATGGCTGGTGGAGCCCTCCTCTGCTAACTACATCTCAGAAAGAATCAACTTTTATCAATCGACTCATTTGCCAAAGGAAATATGCCTGTACTATTTTTAAAATATTTGTATTTCATAATGGAAAAACTTACTCCCCAAAATGCAAATGAAGACATTTGACAAGGTGATTTAAGGTGTGGACATTTGAGAAAGTTTCCCCTCAAATCAGTAAACCAAAGGATAAGTATTAAATAGATTAAAAGATTAAACCTAAACATTTATTTTAAAAAAACAACAAATATTTCATCTTGACAGAAAAAGAACTTTTATTCAATATGTATTTTCTGAAACTAAAAGAGAGAGACAAGAATAGACTTAAAAGAAAATAGATGATTAGTAATTAAGCAATGTCAACGTTTTTTCTGATGAGGATAATTCAGTGATGTTAACTCCTTTACAAATCCCTGGTTATGGTCCTAAAACCAAGACTTTTTTGATGGGACTGATATTAAGGGAAGTAAGACCTTTTGTGCATTCAACTCACAGTTGTAGAACTTGCAGCCATCGGCATGAGTAGCTTAAAAGAGGAAATAAAAGAAGCTTTCAACTAAATCCAAACGTACAGTCATTTTTTTTACTACTGTGATTTGAAAAAGCGTCTTCATAACCATTGAAAATGAATTGACAACTATTTTAAAAGATTAAAGAAAGGCAGATGTCTGCAAACAATTCCCCTTCATCAGCCCAGAAGTCTGTATTATCTGCATCTCTTCCTGCTGTGCTTCAAGCTCCTTCTCCATGTTCAAGTCCTAAGACAGGATTCTCTTCCTGACTCTCTAATAGAAGCTTCTGTGCACCATCACTCACCAGCTCCAGAGGCTCAGTGCATACAATTTCGTTTCTACTGCAAATTGGCCTTACACAGGAGAGTGTTACCATTGAAGCCTAGTAACTATCTTTATCTGCTGTCAAGGATCTTGTGTGCTCCATTTTTTATCAAAAGGTACTGTGCATGCTATTTATGTTAATATTGTTTCTAATATTGTTTCTAATGCTTTTCTATTAATTATACATGCAACCATGAGTTAACACATATGGGTCGATCAATTGTTTATATCCTAATTCTGAGCATTTTTGGAAGAGTCCTAATAACCTATGAGCCTAAAGTCTGATATTTCAGAGTCTAACAACTAGAGTCTATATCCCAACTTTAAAATACTGCTTATTTAATTGTCTTTTCAAGAGCAGGAAAATCAGTATAAAACCAAGAGAATTTAAGAAATCTCTTTTGATTTCAGAGAAAACAGGAGGTAGAGAGTGCAAGGCATCAAGGTTGTTTATCAAAAGGTTGGGACATAGCAGCAGCTGAGTCCCAGGTCCATACCTTGGTCTTCCTAGATGCCCTATGTCCTGCCCCTGTTTTTTACACTCTCTTCTTTCCTTGTACCTGTTTTCATGTAAACTGTCATTAAATATGAGAGGACCATGTTCTCTCTGTCTCTTAAAAAATAAGTGAGTTTTGAATATATGACAGAATATATGAAAATTTGAAAACTGAGGGTGGTTTTGTTTCCCATCCACTCAACCCCTGCCCTGTACTATACCATGTTTTAAGGAACCTTAGCTAAGTGTCTTTAATAATCTTGATTTGATAGGAGAGCTGTTATGTACTATATTTTATCATAAAACTAATATATATATAATATATATATATACATATATATATTATATATATTATATATATATTAGTGTGAATTGGTTACATTTTATTTTTAATGGACCACACATATGTTTCAGATTTGTTTCAATGAAATTACTATACTTTATGTTTTAAAAATCATGTCAGTGATATTAATATATTTGCATTCAGGCTCCTGGTCTTACTGTTTTTATTTCAATTTATTATGCTTTATATGGCTTGTCATTATCATCTGATGTAGAAATAATTAACAGTTCAAAAATGCTATGCAGTTTGTGAAAATGACTTATGGCTCCTGTGTTTGTTTTTTTTAATTTTTTTTATTAAATTATTTTTTTATTATGAAATACACATTTTTTAGAATTAGTTTCAGCTGTACAACACAGTGCAATAGTTATACTTTTTACCCCTCGAAGTGACA